TCGTACACTTCTGGTACTGAAGAATTGAGGACCACCTCCCGAACAGCAGCAATATTGTCCTCAGTTATGGATTCCAGAGCCTCTAGTGCCGCGAACCAGACTTCCGAATCAGGTGGAAGACCGATAACCTGTAATTGGGGGTCTGTTGAATCATCGTCATTTTTCAGTCTATCCGCAATCGTTGAAAGTAGCGTATCGGATCTACTTGTCACGGGTTAAACAAGTTAAATCCCGTTACGGCCAAAAATTAGAAGACCAGTGGTTACAGACCTTGAACGACATGGCTCATAATCGTTTGCAATGGCGCAGGTGCATTTATTCTTTGCATTCTGTCAAATCCTAATCCTCTTAATTCGTCTTTACCTATTACTTTCTTTTTTTGAATTCATCTCGATGAATTATGCTACTTGAATTATTTCCTCGAACCCTAATCTTTTTCATTTCTGCTAATACTTCTACTGTCGCTCTTACTATCGAATTTGAACCAACAAATTCATCTCTGTGCTAATGTGGTATGTCAAATTCGGTTCACATGCTTTGGGGTAGGCAACATTATTCAAGAATTCAGTATAGAGTGAAGCAGAACTAAAATTCCTACTTGTGGACTGTCGTGAACAAGAAAACATGTATAATAAGCAGGCATGACTCACTTGTATAACCCAGGTTAGCTAGGCTGCCCGTTCGATTAAGTAAGTTTCATTCAGATTAACAGGAGTAATAAGATATGTATGGATTTCAAATAAAAATATCAACTGCTCGCATACGACACTTCAGAACAAGCAAGGTAAACAGATGTGCTGCGTGAACGAAAGAATTATGAAATTATTCATTTGATTTAATATACGATACCTTTTTTACAGCCTAGTATAAACCGATTGATTTCTTCGCTCTTGGTTCCTGTTCTGTCGCTACGGTTGATGAGAGCATTTCTGTCACGATCCTTTGCCCGTTAACTGTTCAGTGAAAAGTGTCTATCATTATTTCAAATCGGAGTCCGTCTTGTATATTTCTTTCCCGCTCATCCTTGCGCATTTGATTTACTTGTCTTTTCTAGTGCTAATATGAGGATTTCTGAACTACGTAAATAAATAGATGATTTCGTTTATTATTTAGTAGTGTAGATTGTGAGAGAGGATCGAAGTGTAATCAAGGGGGAGGAAACAGAGATAATGAGCGATTTGGGTTAGGTTAGTGTTCTGAGGAGAAGGCGATAACAACGACTATTAGTTCTCAAGATATGCATCATGAACAGCTTGTCCAAGAGGGAGATGATAATCCGTAGGTGAGTACGTGTTTATCAAGTCTCTTCTTAAAGCTTTCCACTGAGTTTTCTGTGGTCACCTCGGCTGTGAAAGCATTCCAAGTTGCAATGAATCCTGATGTGAAAAAATGTGCATGGAGCTGAGTGTTCGCTCTCTGATGCGCTATTTTTCGAGGATTACCTCGGGGGGATGGTTGATGTTTCATCGGTATGATGCTCACATAACGTTTGATTTAGTGTTCTTGATATGTTGTTGTACGCCATATTCATGATACCTCTGATTCTCCTGTAATTCAGAGGGAATAATACAAATGCTGGAAACGATCTTCGTAAGTTTTGTTCTTCAACATTATCACCCATTTTGTTGCTCGTCTCTGCACCCCTTTTAAAGTGAGGGGGCGCAACAACGTTGTGAAACCCCAAGGTGTGGGCGTGCAAATGTCATAAACAGAGTTAAAACTAATTCAGGGGTGACAGCACCAAGTGGTCTTTGCATAAAGTGAAGAGTTGCATTTGCTTTGACAGCGTCCCCTATTTAGTTCGAGCTGATGTGGAGGCTTAATGTGGTTACTAAAGCGAGATCGCGCTCGCAATGACTCACTGACATGATAGGCTATTTTAATCCGTCCGTTCTAGGCCCTGATATTAAAAACAGGAAGATTTGATGAGAAGAGAATGTATTCTTCAGGCACCCGGAAAATACGGGGTTACTGAGCACACAACTCAAGCTTATTTATACAATGATAAAACGCCCTCGGTAGTAGACACAAAATAGCGTACTAAAATAATCCATCAATCAACGACAGTCAAAGATTTTCCGAGTGGGTAATTTGAGCTGAAGGTGAACTAAGCACCTCTTAGCGCGAAGACGTGAAACAAAATCAAAATTTCAGAAATAAATTACAAAATGAGGACCTTTTCCAAGTGAGTTCTGTGGATCTAACTTGCCCAACAATCCTCCTTTTTCTCATAGCATACGTTCCAGGGGTCGATTTGCAGTTTGACTGTTGTTCACCATTGTCGGAGAGGATATCTGATGTGAGCTTTTTCTCATGGTGAGGCCGACGGTAAGTTGAAGGTATCTTTCAGGATGTCAAGGAGAGGATTTACTTCTGTTGATGCGCGATCTGGGGTCAGCCGTTTGCTTATCTGATTTCGATGGTGTGACCATCTGTCACCTCCTACCTCTACTTCGCACATGACATGAGTTGGCATGGGGTCACGGGCAAACGCAGAACTTCCCTCTTCGCATGTGTATTGCTTTTGAGACTTCGACTACACTACTGTTGGTGCTTTACTCGGATACATCAGGCTACGGATCATTTTCAGTCTTCTCCCAATCAGGATTTCTGTTGGAGACTTTGCTCCAGTAACGTCTCATTTGGAGTTGTTCGATAAATGTACGAGAAGAATTGTAACGCGTCATCTGATGTTCTCACCTCTATTTTTGAATTAACCAATGGTTTTATGACGTGGTTTTAGCCATGAGACGGGCGGAACTTTGGAATTCAACTTTGCCGGTTGCTGACAGCGCATGCATATTCCAATCACTTCAGCGATATGTTGATCCGTTAGGGGCCGGTATGCGTAACTCCTGGCTATGGATTTTATTCGTCTAACCCCAATATGACCAAGATGAAACTGTCTCAGCACTTTTGCACGAAGAGATTCTGTCATAACTACTCTTTCACCAAACATCAAAGAGTCGTTCATGATGCACAGTGAATCCAGAGGTGATACAGTTACTTCATGTTACCGATAAATGTTTTCGACGGCCAAACATTAGTGACATATTTCATCGTCATCTTGATGATGGGGTCGTTTCTAGTGGCATTTTGTACGTCTGTTGCAGACACCGGTGATGAGCGAATTGCGGTTGTCAGATAACATTCTGCGTGGTCTTCCACTTAAAGAGGTGCGATCGCCATGTTTTCCTCAGCCGCCACTTGATCATTAATAAGTCGTGAAAAAGCGTCTGCTTGACCAAATTATAGAGTGCGTCGATATTGGATTTCTAAATCAAACCTCTAACGTACCAAGGCCCATCGCTGAAGACGATTTTCAGAATGGGCTGGAATGCCAGATTTGGAACCGAATACTGTTAACAGAGGCTTGTGATCTATGAGTAGCGTGAATATCCGACCGTAGAGAAAATTGTCTAAACGGCAAACAGCAAACACAAGGGCAAGAGCCTCTTTCTCTTTCTACAAGTATTTTCTGCTGGGGTTAGTGTGCAGGATGCATGCATAACTGCTTTTTCTGACTCATCTGGAACCTGATGTGAAATAGCTGCACATAGGCCATACACAGTATCATCTGCTGCGACCATGATCGGCATGAATGGGTCGTAGTGCGTTAACAACAATGCCGAATTAATTATGGCTTTGAAGTTACAAAACACCGCGTCGATTTCCGTGTGCTACTTGTAGTTATTCAGAAGTAATTGTTGATTTTCGTAGCGCAAGACATTAATAAAGCCATCCATTCTGAAAATAGCAATGGTTCAACATCATCACCTCATGTCATGCTGGTTTGAAATGTTGGGAATTCCGTCGAGGTGTGATTGGATGGAAAATTTTTAGCTGCTTGGGAGCCTCTGTAGGCTTTTAGGAGCCATTGCAATGATTATATCGCTCTACTGAAATGGTCAACACCACTTAGTTTGAAGTTCTCAAATCCAGTAAGTTACGGCATAGTCTGAACAGTCGGAAGCTGGCACAAAACACATCAATCTTCATTGAAAGCTACCGGGTAGTATCCCTTTATTCCATACCTAAAAAAGTGTTATGTTCTTGATATTTGATGGTATATGCAAGTAAATATCATTAAGGAAGGGTTACTGATACATAAAATTCCTACTGATTGAGATGGACAAATGTACAACCACACTCGATTTCAAAAGGAAAATTGATCTGATGTTTCAGGAATTTTCTAAAGCTTTTGATAGGGTTAGTCATATATGCCTCATCAATGAGCTTGAACTAATAGGTACCAATTCACCCATAATAGACTGGCTACCTTCCTATCTAAATATCAGTCCTTTTAAAGTCAGGATAAACTTTAATCTTTATCGATTTATAGAAAGTCATGCTAGTTCCACATTGTTCAGTACCAGGATCTCCTAACTTTCTAAATTATATAAGTGAATTAATTTTCAGCAGCTCGGTGACGAGTAACAATTAAATTAAAATAATATGGGTAGACATCAAATCGAATTCTAATGACGACTGATGAGCATAAAACATGATAGCAGAAGTCCTGTGTAAAAGTTACACACAGAACATGCTCAAAGAATAAACAATAACACAAAGGTCCAATAATCATGTTTAGGGGGAATTTCGGAGTATTCTTTCTGTCACAGATATTATGAATGATAGTTCGTAGTGCAGCAGGCTGTAGATGTTCGATGAACACTAATTAGCAGTATATGTTACGGTGTACAAGGAAACTTAGGTGACAAGTGCAAAAGTGTTTTATACATGGCGAAGTTTTGTTTAAAGAATGGGAAAGGTTTGAATAATGATAAAATCTAGGTGCAGTCGAACATGTGTTCAAGGTTACATGCATGACTATCAAAATAACTTGAAGAATGAGAAAAACCCACTCAATAAAATTTGGAATATGTAACAGGTGTGCACAGACGTTAGTTGCCAGAGAATGTAGTATAGGAACTTAAAATTTAGAAGCAATGAGACACAAAAGTTTCGTCTTACATGGTCTAGGATTTATTGGATATTGAGCTAGATGCGGGAGCTGTCTCCTCTAGGTCGTTTGCCCTTAACACGACGGTTGGGTTACTAGTTTATGCGTTTGTCTGTCTGGTACTTTAGTCAGTAATACTTTTTGATCATCAACAGTAACAAACAGCATGTGTATTAAATACAATGGGTAAAAAAACTAATAAGCAGAAACTCAGTTTTCCCGAAGTTCAGGGATGGGTACCGTATAAAGCTTTTTCAGCAAAAAGTTAGTGATTGAAGCTTTATATTTCAAGCACTTTGTTTTAGAAAAAAATGATGAAATCACAGAGTCACAGTATGTAGAAGTTCCAAAAGATTGGAAGGAGCCAAAGTTCAATCCTGAGGATAATCCACACGGGAGATTGTTCGCTTCTTCATCATACACAACTCTCTTTCCAAAATATCGTGAAAAGTACTTGAGTGAGATTTGGCCAGCCTTAAAAAGAATAATGATGGAACATGTAAGTTTGATACGCCAGTGAAAGGTTTATTTTATATGAGTGAGTAAAAATACGTAATATTTCATATGCCTCCTTGTTCATTGGTTCGTATAGTTACAATTTTTGTACGACAGTGAGATTTTTAGTTTACAAACATGAATAAAATATTATAGAAACCTATTATTTCTTATGTTTCGTGGCTCGTTAGTTCGTATAGTTAGAATTTTTGTATATATATATTTTAAGTTAATAATTTCAAGAGTACTTGATTATAAAGCCCACAAGTTAAAAGTATCTAGCGAATGCCACTATGCCTAGATTTTGGATTATGTAAATACCCATTAATCACGAACTTGGTGCTTGGTTGGTTCAGAGTAAACATTTACACCAACTAGTTGTCTGTACTCTGAAAACTTGTGTGCTGTAAGTTATGGCAGTTAAAGTATAATGTCTAGCTGTTTAAGATTGTCTAATGGGCATGTATATGAATAGGGCAAAAGAGGCGAGATGTCTACCTCGTTACTCTGGCTTTGCTGAAATTTGTGAAAAAATAGCTAATTTCGTAAAACAGTTATGTTATTTGGATGCTGTTCTTTTGAAGTCCTTCAAGCTACTCTACTATGTTTTGCATCATTTTTGTTAATCGCATTTTGAATTAAAGTTTTATTTTCTAACTTTCTTTTCCAATTGTATTAAAACATACCTCCGATTAAATTAACAGCATATTCGAGTAGAAATAGATTTAGCTGAAAGTACTATGGAAGTTCGAACAACTCCAAAAACTTTTGATCCTTTTATCATTCTGAAAGCTAGAGATGTTATACGCCTGTTAGCTCGTTCTGTTCCTATGGAACAAGCTATTCGTGTTCTGGATGATGAAACATTTGCAGATACTATTGAAATTAATTTGACTAATCGTGAGCGTTTTGTTAAACGACGTAATCGGCTTATTGGTCATGATGGTGAAACATTGAAAGCTTTAGAATTGTCTACTAATTGTTATATTGTTGTTCAAGGAAAAACTGTTTCTGTGGTTGGTCGATATAATGATTTAAAGGAGGTATGTCTGATTACTTTATAATTCAACTTTAATATTGTCAGTATTTATGTTGCTAGTTGTAATAACTTGAATTGGTTTTATTATCAAAATTTTAATCCGGTTTATATTGATTCATACTAAGGATTGGCAGTGTTTAAATTCACCGTTAATTTTCGGTTAAAGCTTAGTAAGCTATGTTGCGAAAGACCTTTTTTAAGAGCTGTACCAAGAAAATACATTAACATTGTACAAGCTCTCTGTTCACATACTAATAGTCTGGTGAAAGCTTGTTTCGAACTGCCATCCAAATTAATTACCACGAGTGGTGTTCGTCAGGTTTGTCCACTTTCTCCATGTCTATTATACTTTTTTACTAAAATTATTTTAGAGATAACACTGATTTTTGAGGAGATGAACTTTAACTGAGAGATCCATTTGTTGACTTGGAATATACTGATAACATAGTTCTATTCGGTGGAAACGCTGATAATATGCAGTCTTGTGACCACCCTAAGCGACAGTGCATGTTCGGAATGCGATTCTCCTCGTCAAAACTCAAAAAGTTGCTTCATGATTGGGTTGCTTTGGCACCTAAACTAGTAATAGAGAGTGAAGTAGTTGAACGTGTCCACCACTTCACTTATCTTGGTAGTCTCATCAGTGCTGATGACCTGGTTTGTGACGAAATCTCATTACGGATACTGAAGTTTCGACTGGCTTTTGACAACTTGCGTCACTTAAGGCGTAGGCGCGATATCTGAAAACCCTTATTCTAAACCAATGGTGCACATGGTCTCTAAGATCCTGACGGAACAATTGGCATATGAGTCCATTGTTGGTCACCGACTACCATAGGACTGCATGCAAAGTGGCTCCGCTGCCTTTTGTATTATACTCCTCTAGGTCAAGGGTTCGAAGAGTAGGCCTCTCCTGAAAACCATCTACTTCAGTTTTGAGTACCCACACAGCTTCAAAGCCCGTATACAATTTCTCAATCATTTATGTATGTCAATTGAACGTTATGAGATTTAATTGTTGTCCGAAAAATGATTTTTTCATGAGCTAGGAAATCTAGAATTAATTTACCTTTTATCCCTATATACTACTGTTATTTTTATATTATACGACATCATATAGGTACGTAAAATTGTTCAAGGTTGTATCTATGACAATATACATCCAGCTTATTCTATAAAACGATTACTTATTATAAAAAAACTTTCAATGGATCCTACAAAACAAAATATTTCATGGGATCGATTTTTGCCTAAAATGAAAAAGAAAGTACTTAGTCGACGTAGAAAACCGCATAAAGTATGTTTAATATTATTATCATTATTATTACTATTACTACTTACTGTACAACAATTGATTTCATTCTTGTCGCTGAATTAAACTTCAAACCCTAGTCTCCTCCATTATTAGTAAGACTTCTCCTATCTCTACCACTATGGGATTTGAACTGACTATAGCGTCTCTGTGCTAGTGCGGTATGGCAGCGTGAACTGATGTACTTACGTACGAAGTTCTACGTTGTAACTGACTGACTGAGACACTCGGCGAATCACATCAATATCTTTATGCCTGCATCTGACAAAATGTTTTCTTCGGTTAACTGGTTTACCGTGAGTACAATATAAATCGTTTTTAGTCGATTATATCTTATTAGAAGAAGTCGGTTAAGGCACCTTTTCATTCATTCATTCAGTCACTCAGATGCAACTGACTGACCTTTTCATTAAATTGTATAATTCAAATAATTACGGGTTATTTATGATTCGTTAAATGTGTACCTAAACTATCTATTAAGCAGTACGCTAGTCCAAGCCAGTCAATCAGCAGCAACATAGAACTTCGTATGTACGTGCGTACATCAGTTCAAGTTGCTATACCACATTAGCACAAAGATGCAATTGTCAATTCATATCCCATAGTAGTAGAGGTAGTAGGCGTATTAGCAGTGATGCAGAAGGTTAGGGTTTGAAGATATGATTCGAGAAGTGTAATTCAGTGAGATAAAGATGGAGATGATGAGGAATTCAAAAGATTAGAATTTGAGAGAACACAAAGAATGAATGCACCGGCGCCATCGCAAACGATTCTGAGCCATGTCATTCAAGGTCTCTAACCATCGATTATTATCACCTCGCGGGCCCCAACCAGGTAGTCGTCTACACCTACCAACAAGTCTCAGTCCACTTGTCAGTGACTTCATTGATTTCTGCCAATGTTTTGGTTTGGCCGCCTCTAGCTTTCCTCCAACCTACTTGATATGTTTTGTCACTTAGTATGCTTGATGCTATTACGAGTTTACCTTAGTCGATAAACACGAACGATGCTTTTACCAGCTTCCAGGGAGGCTACCTTGAATCCAACGGTAAAACAGAAGTCTTGGTAAGCGTAGAAAGTATATTCTACAAACACCCAGCAATCCAGTACAATCAAGCATACAACTCTCGTTTATTTATACAACATAACAACGTCCTTGAGACAGTTAAGAAAATAGCATACTAAAATACACTGCAGCCAATCACAGCCACTGATTTTGCTGGTGGGAATTGAAATCTCAAGGTCATCTGATCAGCCCCTGCTGGCGAACGTGAAAACCGAAATACGGCATTATCAAGCGAATTTTGGGGATCTAACATCCCCAACACTCCTCCCCTTTTTAATAGCGTGTTCTCCTGTGGTTGACTTGCATCTTGACTATTGTTCGCCGCTGTCTGAGTGGATACCTTCGGGAACGAAGAACAGCTTGCTGCTGAGTTTCTTCTCGTGGCGGGGCTCTCGGTAGGTTGAAGGTATCAAGCAAGATGTCAAGGGGAAGGCTTTCTGCTCTTGATGGGCGATCTGGGGCTAGCCGTCTGCGTATCTGATTGCGATGACGTGACCATTTATCACCTCCTACCTCTACTTCGTACATAACTCGACCAACCCTTCTGACCACTCTCGCTTCTACCCAGGGACCATGGTTCGTTCTGTAGTCGCGGGCAAACACAGGGCATCCTACTTCGTAAGCGGATTGTCTTTGCTGCTTTGTCTCTACTGATGAGGGTGCATTGGTCGGATGCATCAGGCTGTGAATCGTTTTCAATCTTCTTCCCATCAGGATTTCAGCTGGGGACTTTTGCTCCGGTAACAATTCATTTGGTGTTGTCCGATAGACGTACAAGAAATTTTGTAACGTTTCGGCTGGCGTCCCCTCCCCTTTTGACTTGAGCAGTGCTCTTTTAAACGTATCCACAAACCTTTCCGCCTGCCCATTCGATTGCGGGTGGTATGGTGGCGAGCGTAAGTGTTTAATAGCTAGCCGTTGACAGAAATTCTGGAATTGGGAAGAGGTGAATTGAGAGCCATTGTCGGATACGATCACATCTGGTATGCCATTTCGTGAGAAAATTTCAGTTAGGAGCTGTATAGTCTTAGTTGTAGTGGGCGGCATAACGGGGTTGATTTCCGGCCATTTAGAAAAGGCGTCGACGACAATTAAATACATAGTTCCATTTATTGGGCCAGCGAAGTCGACATGTATCCTGGACCAAGGATGCTCAGGTTTGGGCCATGAAACCGGCGGAATTTTGGCATTCATCTTTGCCGCCTGCTGACACCGGATGCATTTTTCAACCAACGCTGTGACATGTTGATCCATGTGCGGCCAGTATGCATAACTCCTGGCTATGGACTTCATTCGTTTAATCCCAGGATGACCAAGATGGAACTGTCTCAACACTTTTGCACGAAGGGATGCTGGAACCACTACTCTTTCACCAAACATGAGACAATCGTTCACGATGCATAGTGAATCCCGCCGCTGATACAGTTGCTTGATGTCACCTTCAAACTTTTTCGACGGCCAACCTTTAGTGACATATTTCATCGTCATCTTGATGATGGGGTCGTTTCTAGAAGCATTTTGTATGTCTGTTGCAGACACCGGTAATGCGCGAACTGCGGTTGTCAGATAACATTCTGCGTGGTCTTCTGCTGACAGAGATGCGATCACCATGTTTTCCTCAGCCGCCACTTGATCATTAATGAGTCGCGACAAAGCGTCTGCTTGACCGAATTGTAGAGTGCGTCGATATTGGATTTCGAAATCATACCCCAAAAGTACCAAGGCCCATCGCTGAAGACGATTTGCAGAATGGGCTGGAATGCCAGACTTTGAACCAAATATTGCTAACAGAGGCTTGTGATCTGTGAGGAGCGTGAATCTCCGACCGTACAGAAACTTATGGAAACGGCGAACGGCAAACACAAGGGCAAGAGCTTCTTTCTCTATCTGGCTATACTTCTTTTCTGCTGGGGTCAGTGTACGGGATGCATGCATAACGGCTTTTTCTGACGCGTCTGGAAACTGATGTGAAATAACAGCACCTAGGCCATATGCTGAAGCGTCTGCTGCTACGATGATCGGCATGGATGGATCGTAGTGTGTTAATAACAATTCCGAGCTAATTATAGACTTGAGTTTACCAAAAGCCGCGTCACACTCTTTAGTCCAGTTCCATGTGCTATGCTTCTGCAGTAGACAATTCAATGGAGCGCGAATATCATGCATCGAGGGAACAAAAGCTGAATAATAACTGATCAAACCGAGAAAAGATCGTAATTCGGAAACATTAGTGGGAGTAGGCATCAGTTTGATAGCTCGGATGTTTTCAGGATCCGGTCTGCGACCGTCGGCATCAAAGATAAATCCCAAATACTTTACCGACTGCAATAGAAACTGGCATTTTTCTGGGCGTAACCGGAAACCATTGTCACTGATGCGTTGTAGTACCAATGTCGTGCGTTCCCGTAGCTGTTCTAACGTCTTCGCAACAATCAAGATATCATCGAGATAAGCTGCAACCCCTGGGATATCTGACAGGATTGTATCCATTAGTTGTTGGAAGATAGACGGCGCAGTCTTAACTCCAAAAGGTAGACGGTTATATTGAAACAAACCGCGATGAGTGTTGATAGTAAGCAGCTCTTTAGATGCTTCATCGACTTCCACTTGCAAATAAGCATCAGCTAGGTCAAGCTTTGCGAAGAACTTTCCTCCATTCAGCATAGTGAACAGATCTGCTGGAACTGGCAGAGGATAATGATGCTGTTCTAGAGCTGCGTTGAGACCTGTAGAGAAGTCAGCACATATACGTATCGTTCCGTTGGCCTTCTTGATAACGACTATAGGTGCTGCCCAACTGGAGTAAGAAACGGGAGTAATAACTCCTTGTCGTTGAAGGCGATCCAGCTCTTCATCTACTGCTGCTAATGTAGCATACGGTACAGGTCTCTTTGGACGAAAAGTAGGCTTAGCCCCATGTTTCAACCGAAGTGTTGCTTTCATAGCAGTGCACCGACCTAATCCAGGTTCAAAAATGGTTGAAAACTCTGTCATCAGCTTCTTCGTATACGCTTCTGGGTCATGTCGTTGTGATACCAGGTTGCATATGGTATTTAGCGGGACATCAGCCAATTTTAGCTGGTCGAACCAATCTAAACCAAGTAAATTTAGATCAGCTGGCGTTATATAGCATACCCCAGTAAACGACGAATCCCGGAAAGCAACTTTACATTCCAATTGTCCTAACAGACGAAGATAATTACCACATGCTGTGCGAGGCTTTTGTGTTGTGTGCTGCAGGCTTGGGCTGCCCAACTTGGTCCAATTTTTGCGTGAGAGGATAGTGACATCAGATGCAGTATCTATTTGCATTCTGGTGATGAACTTTGGCAGGAAGATATTAGGCTCAATGCATTGGTACTGGATCTAGGAACAGGCTTCTTAGCACTTCTGGATCGCTTTGGCTTTTTCTGTAGGCAAAAGCCATCTTTATGACCGATGACTTTACACTTCCTGCATCTATGCTGCCTAAATGGGCAGTTCCGTACATAGTGCCATGAACCGCAGTGCCAGCAAGCAGAAGGTGGATTCATTTTGGGTTTTTGGGCCGAATTGGAGCGGGGTGAACTGGGTGTAGCATGGGCAGACTTATAATGATTAGGTGGCTGCTGTACCAAATGAATTTCAGATCGGCTTGAACTACCACTCTGAACTATAGTCGAGTCTCGTTGTAGGTCAGTGAGACGTTGGTACTCATGAGCCATATCATTAAGCGTAAGCTTTGGATCTTGCTCCAACCGACTTAGTAGCCTTGTTCTAATGTCACTGAACTTACTCGACTGGAGGCTGCAGATGAGAATGAGGGCTTTGAACTGGTCTTCCGACAAAGACTTCAACCGAAAGCGTTCGCATTCACGGTTGACGATGCCCACGTGCGTAAGAAAATCATCATCTTCGTTCATAATAAGCTTCAAACATCGATAACGAGTATTAAATAGTGACGAGTTGTCTCCAAAGTGTTGGCTTAAAGTCTGAACAGTCTCAGAAAACGAACATTCTCGTGGGTTCAAATTCATTTGTTTCATTAACAGCTCCAACATACGTTCCTGCAACTGTTCATATCGTTTTCCTTGACGTTCCAGTAAAGATTCTAACTGTTCAAGGTTAATTGACATTGTGAATTGTGAGCCCCGTCGCCACTGATATGTTTTGTGGATATGGTTTTTACCCCGTCGCCACTGATATGTTTTGTCACTTAGTATGCTTGATGCTATTACGAGTTTACCTTAGTCGATAAACACGAACGATGCTTTTACCAGCTTCCAGGGAGGCTACCTTGAATCCAACGGTAAAACAGAAGTCTTGGTAAGCGTAGAAAGTATATTCTACAAACACCCAGCAATCCAGTACAATCAAGCATACAACTCTCGTTTATTTATACAACATAACAACGTCCTTGAGACAGTTAAGAAAATAGCATACTAAAATACACTGCAGCCAATCACAGCCACTGATTTTGCTGGTGGGAATTGAAATCTCAAGGTCATCTGATCAGCCCCTGCTGGCGAACGTGAAAACCGAAATACGGCATTATCAAGCGAATTTTGGGGATCTAACATCCCCAACACTACTTCTGCATCACAAAACATCACTCGACGAGGTAGTCAGTGGTCAGGCATACGTAACACATGTCCCAACCACCTCAACTTATGAAGTTTCATTACTTCATCTATTGATGTGCCATCCTTACCTAGCACCCGTTTCCAGATAACAGCGTTGCTTACTCGTTTGTCCCATGACACACGAACAATGCTTTGGAGACACTTATGATCGAAAACCAGTAACCTACGAATACCTTCTACTCTGACTAACCATGTTTGACAGCCGTAAAGTAGGACGGAGTGTTTTATTGAATAATGAAATCCAGTTACTATTTATATATATATATATTTCTACTCTTTCCTTCCAGCTACGTAAGAAAAAAGAGTACAATCCATTCCCACCACCACCTGTTCAATCGAAAATTGACATTGAGCTAGAAAAAGGTACATACTTTTTAGCTGAAGCTGAACGTAAACGATTAAAAGTTGAGTCAACCATCGCTAAATCAAATAAAATATCAAAAGAACGACAAAAAGCTAAACGTACTGCTGCACTTATTCCACCCAGTGATGAATGTAACACTAATGATAATCAACATCAGAAAGCGAAAAAAATCAAATTTAATGATGAGTAAAAACTATGGATTTCTTGTATATTTCTTGAATTTGTAAATACTATCAATATACATATATATTCAGCAAGATAATGATTTTATGTCTTTTTCTGTCCACTCATTTATATTTAAAAACTGAAACACTGACTGGGGCCTTTCTGGGGCTACTGCCGGCCACAAGCGTGGATAAATGAGAAGGGTTGAGCATGCGGTTAGCAACCCGTTGTTGTAGAAAACAAATTTGCATAAAAATAGATAACCAAAAAAAAAATAATTCAAACAGTTTAAACTCTGGCCTGAGAGTTGGAAGGTCTTTTCAGTTAGAATGGCTATCACGCCTCATGTTGAAAGTTGAGTTTCTTGTGAAGTCATGAGGTCGATGCCTGTTTGGAGACGTTCGATCCCCAGTACTCACTTGGAAAAGATCCTAATTTGTAATTCACCTCTGAAATTTTATGCGATGCTTAGTTGACCTTCAGCTTACATTTCCCACTCGAGAAATCCTTGAATGTCATTGGTTGATGGATTGTTTTAGTACGCTATTTTGTGGTTCTCACCAAGTGCGTTTCTCTCATTGTATAAATAAGGTCGATTTGTATACTTAATAAGCTCGTATTTCTGGACGCCTGTAAAATATATTCTCTACCCCTTATCAAGACTTCTTCTTCTAGTTAGTAGAGCCTAGGACGATCGGATTAGAATAGCCTATCGTGTCACTGCATTGTTTATTTTCGTTCCATTTACCGAGTAAGGTGAACTCGTAATAGCTGTAAGCATATCAATGCCTTTTCTAACAACCAGAGCAACCATTAATATAGATAAGTATGTGGAGTGTTCGTACAATCTGTTAGACCGAAAAAAACAGATTAAGTTGCATTGGAAATAAAGAACGATACAACTTGAGAGTGTTTAAGCATTTAGAACTGAAAGGATAAATTTTGCGGACATTGATCATCCTAAGTAGAGAATATATTTATTTACAATTCACATGACTACTACTATTTCATCTGTCGATATTTTCAATAGAGAATAAATAACTTTTTATATCGAAAAGAAAGAAATATGGTATGAGATTTGTAGTTTGTTAATTGGTAAGAATCTTAAAACTTCAAAATAATTTCGTGGTGCACAAAAACTTAGTCGTTTATGAATGAATGCAGATCACAAAATTGTCAAGATTCCATCCATTCAATTGTAATATATTATTGGTTTTGTGAACACTATTTCTCAAGGCTAAATGCTAATGTTTTGGTACTTAAATAATTTGCAAAGAACGTCAGTTAGTTAGCAAAAACATAGAACTTGGCACGTACGTACTAACATCAATTCAAGCAGTAGTACCATATTACCGCAGAGAGATCCAAATGTCAATTCAAATCCTATAGCAGTGGAGGTTGTGGCAGTAATGGAAAAGACAAGGGATCGAAGATGGGATTTGCGAAGCGTAATCCAGTGAAATAAATTTAAAAAGATAAAGATAGAGGTGATTAGCGAATCTTGAAATTAGGATTTGAGGGTACACTAGAAGTAGATGCACTTGCACCATTGCAAACGATTTGGAGCCATATCATGCAAGGTATCTAACCGTCGGCGACTATTGTGTCGCTTACCCCAACCAAGTAGTCTGCATCTACCAAAATAGCCCTGTTCACTTGTCAGTGACTTGATGGATTTGTGCCATGTTTTGGTTTGGCTGCCCCTAGCTTTCTTTCAACCTACTCCTGCATCTCAAAACATAGTTCATCGAGGCAATCGGTGGTTAGGCATAGGTAACACATGTCCCAACCAACTCATCTGATGAAGGTGCACTACTTCATCGATTTATTTGCCATCCTTCCCTCATAATCTTTTCCTAACATCAGTGATGCTTACTGGATTGTTCCAGGATATATGAGCCATGTGGAGAGCATAGTTGTTGACAAAGATAATGGCTTGGATATGATAAATGCATTGATAAATATTTTACAAATCGTGGAACTTGTCATTTTGCTGTCTCCGTTTGTGTTAATACTTCATGCAAACAGGTAGTTATAGCAGATTATAGTATCTCAGTCAATGCATTTTATTAGCAATGATGCAATCATGCTAATATATTAACATTTTTAGTGAAACCCATTTAACAAACAATGTTAGATGGATTTACATAAATTGCAATCTGAAAATCAGTAGTACTGAATTTATTTATATCGCTTCAATAAACATGTCCTTCACATCAGTTGTCGGTTATATGACGTATGCGTTCTATTCACTAATGCAGTTTAACAAGATACTTAAATAATAACTTTAAATAATAAACGGTAGATCTGGAATATAATTGAACAGTTCGTGGAACAAAACTCCGCCACATTCACCCACATGAACTACAAATTTTCTCCACCATTACTAGGTAAATATATTTTGCTAATCCTCTTTCTATTCTCTATACTGTCTTCCTATTCGATTTACTTTTTATGTATGGCATAATACTACTTATTAATATTCAGTACACAGTTTCATTTCTATTAATTTCTGGAAGTTTGGTACGATGCACATATTCTAAAATATTCACGTATACTGATAACATTCACTATATTTGTTGCTACTACTATTTCCTCTCAACTTTTGTAAGTTATTCATAGTCTATTTCAACAGTTTGGTTCTTTGTTAAAACACAGAAATTTCACTCTGTGACACAGACACCTTACGACTTGCAGTTAGTAATCAACCTACAAATATGTATTTCTTGATAATAAGATTATTTATTAATAAGAGTAATGGAAACTATTGTTTGTTGAACATTCAAATAACCAGTGGAGTTCAACCCTGTCGGGTGTAGGAAGTAACTACCAAAAACAAACAGGTGAGGTTTTGCAAAATCTGTAGACTGATTAGAGCTAGACATCAACACCATTGGATGCCGGCCCAGTGGTTAGGCGTTCGCGCGCAAGACCGAAAGTCCCAGGTTCGAAACCTGCGAGTGGTAAAGGTCGTGGATGTGTAATGCTGATGAGTCCCATACTTCTAGGATATTAATCCAATATCCTAAGAGAATTATTGGTCAATTCCTATTGGTTCATCCCTACTGGTCAATTTTATGATCGTCCTAGATACCAATCTCACGTACACCAATGTTGTTTCTTATTGGTTGTCCTGACTATCAATGTCACTTCAAATGTTGCTTCCTATTGGTCGTCTTAACTGTCAATGTCACAGACTTTGATGCTGTTTTCTATTCGACCAAAATATTATATAAATACGCATTACCTGTAACGTTTTATGACCTGAATCCCTAGTACGGGATGCTGATTCTCTTTTGGACTCGGAACTCGTACTTTCTGGATGCTTGTAGAATACAGGTTCTACTTCAGATCAAATCTTCTTCTTTTACAACATGAGGGTTTGGGACAATCGGATCAGAGTAACCTGTCGTGTCACCGGATCCTGGCTCTCGTTTTCCGACTAGGTAAACTCGTAATAGTTCAAGTATATCAAGATGACGTGCTTACAAGCAGGCGTTACAAGAATGCTGGTCGGCAGCCTATGTATGTATGCTCGAAGAGAGGTAATTAACACTACATATATTCTGACTGATGGCTATTTGAACTGCTATTTCAAAACCTAAAAAACACGCATGAATTGAGGAGAATGTGTTTGTCAAGATAAGATAACGCTTGTTACTTCGAAGGAAGGAAAACAATTATAGTATACATTTTAAACATGATTTTCATTCATTCAAATTTTTGGATTAACACCAATGTGTGGATTTTAGTGGTTTAATCTTAAAATCACTTTAGATTTCAAGTGACAAATGTTTAGTTAAGTAAAACACTTCTTTAGGAAGGTTGAGTTTCTGAAGTAGTCAAGGTTAAAAAAACAGAAAGAAGTTGCTGTATATTGATTCGAAGCATTATTAGACAATTGCTGCTGACGTACTTACTTATGCCTTTTATCTCCCAAGAAAAGCATAGGCTGTAGACTAGTATTTTGCAATCTACTCTGTCCTGGGGTTCCTTTCCCAGTTCTTTCCTATGTTTGTTCATTCCTCTCATATCTTTCTCTGTTTCTCAGAGTAATGTGTTTATTGACCTTACTCTTTTCCTTTAACTTTGAGGGTTTCAAGTGAGGACTTGTCTTGTGAGATAAAGTTCGGTGCTTTTCGTAGTGTGTCCTATCCACTTCCACCGCTTCTTCCTGATTTCCTCCTCCACTGGAATCTGGTTTGGTCTCTCCCACAGTAGTTTGTTGCTGATGGTGTCTGGCCAACGAATACGAAGTATTTTGCGTAGACAACTGTTAATAAACACTTGTATCTTCTGGATGATGCCTTTCGTAGTTCTCCAAGTTTCCGCTCCATACAGTAGAACTGTCTTGACATTTGTATTGAAAATCCTGATTTTGGTTTTGGTTGAAAGTTTTTTGGAGTTCCAGATATTTTTCAATTGTAGAAATGCAGTCATTGCTTTGCTAATCCGCGCCCTCACATCTGCATCGGATCTACCTTGGTTGTCGACGATACTACCAAGATATGTAATGGTGTTAACGTCTTCCAAAGCATCTCCACCAAGAGTGATTTGTTTGACGTATGTTGTGTTGCATCGCAGAATCTTGCTTTTCCTACTGTGTATGTTGAGACCTACTGCTGCTACACTGGTCGTCTTGTCTTGCATTTGTTGCTGCGTGTGCGATAGAAGAAAAAGATCATCTGCAAAGTATGAATAGTCTAGCTGCATCCTGGCTGTCCACTGTATACCGTGCTTTCCTCCAGATGTTGACGTGCTGCTCACGTAGGTAATAAAAATCCTGTCAAACATGTAAACGTATATCATATGTACACTAACAGTGAATGGAGTGAATGACAGCATTAGATTTCTACGAATCACCTATCAAAAAAGAAGTCATTGAACTACTAAGTTGCGAATTTTTAGTACACTCATTATTTAATACATCAGTTTAAGAAACCATGTGTGTTACACACATGTGACCAAATATCAATCTTAAATTGCGATTTTGTTGAAATAAATACCAACAGATATAGACAAATATATGTCAACAATTCTTGAAGTCAAGCAACACTTTCAGTCAAGGAATACGTAAACTGGAACCATTGGACGACCGTT